GGGATTTGCATGTACTGTGACATGTTAAAGGTTGAATGTTTATCGTGGTCGATGCATTTAGCTACAACTAGCTAGTTTTCAGGCATGCCAGCTAAACTGAAAGAAACAAATATTGCAAATAAACATAACAGGCTTAACAATTTCAACTGCTAAGTAGGACGTCTTGTATAATTTAGAAGGGGACTACGAAATATTAATATGCATGTTCATTAAATACACAAGTCGAATACTTTTTCAATGCTTTATTTCCCTGTCTTTGTAATATATCTCCTATAACAGCTACGCATGTCTAAATGTTGCAGTCATGAGACATGATCGTGGGACGACTGAGGTTGCCTGGTAAATGGTCTACCACTGGGCTTAAGGCTCTTCGGGCAATCGGACTTTATGGCGGACTTGGTAGCTTGATCAGGCCTGCAAAAGAAAGCAGTGTTTTCGTAAACTTAGTTTCCATTTTTATGCCCCGAATAATCTGTCTGATAACTCAGGATCCCATTTTAAGTTAATGTTCCTGCCGTGGAGCTGAATATTAAAAAATAATTATACCACGCAATTAATAATTTAATGAATAGGCCATTCTGATTGATTGTGGACGGACAAACTTAAAAACATTTTGTTAAAATGTTATAAGACAATTTCAAATAACTATTACGCAACTCAATTGTCAGAAACAAAACTTTGCCGGGAACTCAAGAAAACGATTGTTAACGTTTGACAATGTCGCTTTGCGATTAAAAGATGTAGTAATATGTTCCTCCCATAAGTTAATGAGTAAAGCATTCTGACAGAGTGTAAACGGAAAAATTTAAAAACAAGGCGCTTAACAATCTCCACGGTCAACATGAAAACCTTCCTGGAAACTCAAGAAAACAAATGTTACTGTTTAACGCTGTTCGCATGCGGATTTCTTTAAGATGGCATGATACAGCTATTTGGGGCGCGTGAGTAGAACATTAAAATAGTTATGAGGCAAACTAGACTTACAAAGAGAGGCTTAAAAGAAGGATGAGGACTTACACGACTTGGACGAGGAGGACGAGGACTAACACCACTTGGACGAGGAGGACGAGGACTTACACCACTTGGACGAGGAGGACGAGGACTTACACCACTTGGACGAGGACGGCGTGGATCACTTTCCTCGTCAGCTTCCTTGCCCGGCTTTGTTGGCAGTATTGATGGCTTATATTTCTCGTGGCAGGCTTCTACACAGTTTTTCTGCGGAGAAAGCACAATAATAATGTAGCCCTCCGGCATTGTTCTCATGAACTTAGTTTCCATCTTGATGCCCGGATGAATCAGTCTGTCTGATAATCGGAAATCCAGTTTGTAAGTGACT